TAGGGCGGCGGACTGATTCCTCCAATCGATGAGGTGCTGGATGGTCCCACTGCCGTTACGATGACACTTTATCTTCTTGAAATATATCAGTTCTGTTTTCAGGTGCCAAATTTTTTTAAACGCATGAAGATCTCGGGTGCGTGAGAAATGTTTGTGCCCAGTTTGAGAAACTGTCCCTTCGCGTTCAGGGTGCGTTCTTTTCAAATGAACGATATCGCTTTCTGTGGGCCCAAAAACGTAACTTTCTAAGAGGGTTCTCCGAAAAATGTTGCAACTGAGACATTAAAGTCTTTCCAATGGCTGTGATTTTGATCCAATGGATTCTCCTAAGTTCCCGAAGGTTGTAAGGCAAATCTAAAAAGTTCTTTGAAACATTCGTTTTCGAATATCCGCTGGAATAACATCTTCTGCCCGCGAAAACCGGAAAACCGGCAGCTTCTCTCCTTTCTTGAACACATAATATACTCCCAATGTTTACTTGGGGTCCGCTAGCGCCACCAGCGTCATTCGCTGGAAATAGAGCGCGCATCGTATTTCAATTTTTGAAACTACCTCATAAAAAGAAGGGTGGAGACCAAGCCCAAGCCAAGACGCCATTAACGCCTGATGGCGTGAGAAGAATATGTCCAAGTATGTTATATATACAGGGTGGGTAAAAAAAAAACGGTCCTCTACTTTGAAACCTTATATCTCGGTCCCAAATTGAGCTAGAATAATTTAAGATTGGAAAGCGAATTAAATGAACTTTCATTTCATTTTTCTTAAATTATTCTAGCTCAATTTGGGACCGAGATATAAGGTTTCAAAGTAGAGGACCGGTTTTTTTCGACCCACCCTGTATACGACTGTATTTGGTATTTCTTAGGAATAGCTTAGTCTCTTAGTCTTAGTACGTTGCCCGCTTTATTCCAGCATGAAACTGAGATTGGTGCAATCTCATAGTCTGGTCACGTTTACCATTAGTAAGTGAGGGCCTTAACGCTGCGGGTGACGGCGAAGGCAACTTGACAAGGGAGTGGAAAGAGTTAATACTCCGCATATTTTGTCGTATCATAAATGACGATGGTTTTTCGATCACTATTGGTGTCATGATTGCAGATGAAAATAAAAAATGCTTTTTCAAAGGTATTCTCCCAGGTAACACGTGAACGGTCAAGAGATCGTTCAACTCCAGCTCAAAAAGGTTCTTAGACTTTCAAGGATTAGGGATGAGCAGCTTTTGAACGCTCAATTAAGGTGGCGTTTCATCATCAAAGTATGACGTTATTGAACTTAGTCGAATGCTGAAGAGGAGTTTTTCTTGAGCATGACTGTGCTGTCCATCTGACATTGGCTAGGAACACCCAAAGGTTCACGCAACCGACGCCATAAGACGCTGAAGGAGCCGATATGGGGAGTCAGTACCTCATATAGCTGGAGTTAGTCTCCAATACTTTCGCAAAGAAAGTATCGGAGATTAAGACAATCACGGAAAAGACGAAAAAACTCTTCAAGAAACGCAAGGAAATGAAGACGGAAGATTCAAAAAGCGAGCCTATGGAGTTCCGTATAGGCTCTATAGGTAACCTTAGCAGCAACATTTTTCTGGGAATTCCACAACCTTTACTTCTTCCATGCCCCCTCACCCGTCAAGGGCGAAGTTATTATTTTTGATGCCCTTAACTTTGACAATAATGGATGAGAGTTCTTTCCATTTTCAGATTTACGAGGAGTTTAGGAATGAAGTACAAAAAATCTCAACCGAGCAGAAGGAAAAAGAACGTCTCCCAGACTCTAGTTTTTCTTTCGGCGAAGGAAAATGAGGGCCTCAAGGCGTGTTTAAAAGTGGAAGGACCTCTAACTTATGCCGTTAGGTATACTGATAATATTATTTTACTAGCGAGTTTGCTATTTAGTTTGAGCTTAGCGCTATGGTCGCGCATTCGGCGCTCCATTACCTTGGAAAGTGATTAATTCATTAATTACTCCTTACTTTGAAGTCCCACACAAACCCATCCTGCCAGACTTTGCGTGCGCCACGAACAACCATGAAGGATAATAGAGAAGGGTTGAGAAATTATGTTACAACATTGGAAATCGAGAGTATGATAATTTCATTGTCTTGAAATCTAATATATATAGACGATCGTGACTGACTGACTGACTCACTTGGCAAAGAAGAACCTACTGGATGGCTGAGTAAATAAAAAATTCTACTTTAATTATATACTAGCGCGTTTGTTTGCCCTTCGGGCAAGCAAACTCTCTATGGTCAAGTATTTAAAGTACGTCCCCATTGAAATACTCGACATATGGGGTCGAAACTCTTTATTTTTACCAAACTCTTTACCTCTATGAATCTATGTGCACCTAACTTTTAAACTTTCCTTAAAACAGCATCACATCAGTGATGCGTGCTCCAGCTACTTTTGTATGTCTGCCCGGTGAAGTATATGCCCACGAAGTTTCAATATTATACGTTTACCCTTTTCGCTGGTGAAGAAACATGCTTGGAAAAGCTGACCCACCCAAAAGCTATGCCGGGAGGGGAAGCACCATGAAAGCCGAATACTCTCTTAGCTCAGTAATATCATGTCGCTTATACGTATGCAAGTTTCACCTTTCCATTTCTGTCCAATTCACCGCAGCATTTTTTGTTTCAAAACATCGCCAAACATCGAAAAAATTCCCCCAGGGGATGTATCGAGACTTAACATTTTAATTTAAATCCTTGTCTCAGTAGTCACATTCATGCAAAGTTTCAGCTTTCTATGTTCATTAGTTTAACTGATGCAAAAAAATTAGTGGAAAGCATTTCCCTTTGAAATTTGTGACACCAGGGCATTTACTTCCAAAGTCTGAATTTTTAATACCCTAGCGAGTCGGGCAGCAATAGAAAAGTAGCAGCCGGCGCACGCACAACGAACGTGATGTTGATTTAAGGAAAATTTCAATTTTTGTGTGCGTCTTCTCAGGGCACAGCTTTTGGATGGATCGCTTTTCCTAATATATTTCTTACCGCCATTAAAAAGGGGAAACGTATAAGGCTGCAATTGGGTGGCATGGAGTTCCCTGAGTCTACATTTCAGAAGAAAAAAAAAAAATTTGTTCGCTAAAACCCACAGGGCACTTATCTTTTTTCCCATTTTCGTGAATTTTTTTTTGATCCAACGAAACTGAGACAGAAAATTTAAAATTCCCTCAGAAGCACCTATTTGATGGCTGAGTGCAGGAAAAACCCTGCTTTTGAAATATGTCCCCTTAGTTTAGATTATAGGAGGGAAGTATTTCAATATGCCTTCTCCACCTGTGCATGAAAGGATTTCATGTTAGGCACACCAGAAATAATAGAAGTAGTGATTTTGATCAAAATGAAGACTTACTTCCTCATATGTCACTTATTTCAATGGAGACGTACTTTAAATACGTGTTTGCCATTTCGCAAAGAATGAATGAATTATTCACTATCCAAGGTAATGGAGCGCTGAAGGCGCGACAATAGCGAGTTTGTTTGCCCTTCGGGCAAACAAACTCGCTCGTAGAGAATAGTGATTGATATTGCTTCATTTTCTGAACAGAGGCAGATTCAGTATGTTCAGAGAGCAAAGTAGTCAATTGATTTTTCTATGACTAGCCAGCATGAGGAGTCTGATACCTGGATCGTTTAGTTTGTGCGAATCTTTTTTGTGAGATGCAAGGAGTTATTGGATGTTAATCTTTTTCAGCTGTTCAACTTTTTAGAGTTCCTGCTAAACTGAAGTATGAGACACGTATGTGTTTGAATGAGTGAATATGGCTTCAAATAGACGATAATTGACCTGCATCAATGTGAACAATTACTTGAAAACCATATTTAAAAATAAATCATGGGCAAGTAGATTTTTTCTTTAATTTTGTCGCAGTGTCGCATCTCTTCTCTACTTGTAACTCCGAGCTTGAGCTGAATATCCGACGCCTTATATAGATTTTCATGTTTTGTTGTAGTGACTGTCTGGTATATTGTGTCCCAGTAGGAGAGTCATGAGTCAGGTTATAAGTCAAGAGTTCATCCATCGTCCCCTAATTTTTTCGGAAGTGAAACTCCAGACACGTTCAAACAAGTTGGGTAACTTGGAAAAATATAGCCAAGTTTCAGATGGATGGTATGAAGCTTAAACATGGTGTGAGTATTTTTTTACCCTCCGGTATTAATCATATCCTGAATATTATGGTAACATCAATAAAATCGTGTACTTCTGAATGATTCTTTTATTTATCGGCGATGAGATATTGAATGTCGACTAGGTCGACTTTCTAGGGCGACTAACAATATGTTCGTTTCAGGGGCAGGGCATTCGGATGTTTCAGCGTGCGTTGGAACCCATCCTGCAACATCAAGATCTGTTTCCTTCATGTTGATGAATTGAAGTAAGAATTGATGTTTCCAATATTCTCACAATTCACACACGCTTTCATTTATTAATTTTCTGTGAGGCGACACAGAAAGGATAATATCGAATACATATACCTTGTATATATCCCGAATTTGTATTACCAGTCTCCCTCACTGTACATAAAATAGTCTTCCGGTTCATTTGTAGTTCTTCCATGTGGGGTAGGTACGAGAATGTGATACCTGGGAGCGGGAGTCGGTCGCCTGCTTGGGTTCCTTGGGGTGGGCTTAGGTCTGCGAATCCTGACATTTCCTCTAATGTCCGGAATCTGAAAAAAGCATGCGTGTCAAAATGATTTGTGAAGATAAACTTAAGAAATTATTTATATGCACCACATATATGGTGTTCATGCACGGTATATCGGAGCAGCATTTCGATGAAAATTAATTACAGACTAGGGGTTTTTCCAGGGCAGGGGCACTTGCATTTCTAATACTAGTACTGCCAGGGCTTGGATAATATATTGTACCGGCCTAGATATGTCACTGGAATGCCCAGGAAAGCGCGTCTACTTCCTATGGGAGAGAGAAAAATCACTCCTCCCTCAGCCAAAGGAAAAAACAGACAGAACTTGCGAAAACCGTCTCCTTATTCCCTTCGGACGTGGTTCTCATAGGGAATATGAGCATATTTATGGCCTGGACGCCATGATTCTATCTGGAAGATGGGGATGACAATTAAGGAAGTGTCGAAGTTTAATGATTGCTACAATGAGGCAAAGCGAGACATATGGGAATGTACAAAACTATCCTGTGAGAGATGATTCAATTCATAAAGGGGAGGACAATTTTGTGTACTTTAAAAATTCGAGAACCATGGGGTTCTTGGGTTTAAAGGGACATGGAAGGCAAAAAAAGCCAAAAGAAAGCCAAGGAAGGGAATTTAACCCGGACCTTCTGATTGCCAGTCAGATAGGTTACACCATCGAACCCAGCACATCCACTTGACTCTCTGCATGCCATCCTCATCTGTCACAAAATATATTGAATAAAAACGTTTCCCCCAAAATTTGTACCTCAGGGCATGTACCTCCAAAGTCAATTTTTTTCTGAACTCTGCATCCCAAAAGGTAAACGGGTACCAAGTTTCAGATTTATAAACTTTCTAAAACATGGTTAGAATCAGCGTCAGTCAGTCAGTCGCGATCGTCTATATATATTAGATGATTCCTAAAGGAATCATATTTCAGAAAAAATCAGTTCAGAAAAAATCCGACGTTGGAGGTACATGCCCTGGGGGTAAACATTTTGGGGGAAAAGTTTAAAAAATATATATATTGTGACTGATAAGAATGACATCTAGATAGCTGACTAGATGTACCGTTCGCGGTGGTGTATCGGTAGCACACCTGACCTGCAATCGAGAGGCCTGGATTCAATTTCCGGCTAATCCAAGGCTGTCTTTCGGCTTCTCCTGCCTTCCATTAGCCGTTACTCATTCCCCCTTCCATAATATTACTTTTGCTTGAATAAAACGGAGAGACATGGAAAGCTGAAACCTGGCATGGACGTGCCTACCAAGATGATGAGTTTAGGACGATGAGTCCATGTCCTGAGGGATATTTTTGGGGCCGACGTTTTGAAGTATATTTTTTGTCCTTTCGCATTGAGTTAGTGTGGAAAGATGGAACTTGGTACATAACTACCTATTGGGATACTGCGTGTGGAAAAATCCAGACTTTGGAAGTAGATGCCATGGGGCACAACTTTCAATGGGAGATTTTTTCATATAATTTTTTTGCATCTGTTAAACTGATGGACATGGAAAACGTGAACTTTACATGAATGAGACTACTGAGAGAAGGACTTAAAGGAAAATGTTAAGTCTCGATACATCCCCTGGGGGAATTTTTTCGAGGGGCGATGTTTAAGAAAAAAATTGGTCGTGGCGAATTGGCCAGAAATGGAAATGTGAAACTTGGCACATGTATAAGTAACATGATATTATTGAGTTGAGGGAGTATTCAACTTTCATGGTGCGTCCCCTCTGGGCATAGCTTTTGGTTGGGTCCTCATTTGCAAACATGATTTTTCACCAGCGAAATAAAGAATGTATACGATTGAAACTTTGTGGGCATGTAGTTCACTGAGGATTGATTTCGGGTAATATGGCACTCTCGGTTAAAACGCATTAGGGCACATGATTTGTAAAAGGCGTATTTTACCGAATTTTCTGATTCAGCAAAACGGAGGCGCTAGAAAGCTTAAACTTGGGAAAGAATAACCTGATGGATAGCTGAGTAAAGAAACGATTCTACTTTTATTATATATAGACGATCGTGAGTAGCTGATTGACTGACATAAGTAGCTATTCACATGCTGAGTTGGGGAAAATTCTACTTTGGTGATACATGCCATAGGGGGACACCTTTTTGGGGACCATATTTCCAAATATTTTTCTTTGCTTCATTCCAACGGAAACCCATGGAAAGCTAAAATTTGGCAAGATCGTGATTGCTGATGCAGTGAGTTCTAATGTCAAATGTCAAATTTCCAAAATTTATTTGGGGGGCATATTTATTGGGGAGGTAACCTTTTCAATTTACAGGATACATGGTTTTATAGGATTATCCTATAAAATCCTATAACCCCGTAAAAATCCTATAAAACATTTTTGTAAGGGAGTATGTCTTCTGGTTAATATGCAACATCAGGAAAATGCAACCACTCCTCCAAAGAGGTCATGAGAGGCTATTTTATTGCCTCACTTACAACGGCAGAAGTCACGGTGGGTCGTATGTCCTGGACCCTTGAACTAGACTATTGCATGCAATGCATCCCATGAACATTAGTAAGGTTGTGAAATCAATCTAATTCGTCACCTCGATGCATGCATCTGCCAGATGCATCAGAATTATGCGCGTATCTGAATGACTTAACATAGATGGAACATTAGACTAAGTTGAAGTAAGTTCTTTCGAAATGCGTATTCCTGACATGCTCTGCAGAACCGGCATAATGAATACAAGAAAGAAGAAAAGAGAAAGAACATCTTCAACCAAGCTGTTGTCTTTCTTTAGGATTTTTCTTCGTGCAGAATCGTCATAGACCCTTGCAGTTTGATATTTTTTGCCACACTTTTCAGGAGTTTGTGTACCATATTTTAAGAACTCATGTTGAACTCTCTTACGAAAAATTATTTAACATTTTCATCATAAGTTTCTGGTCTGGTTACAGGAATGCAGTGAACATATACGATGCTATATCAGAAATCATTACCTGAACCATCGTCGATTGGAGTTGCACCACCGGCTGCGTCAGTTCCGCAATCTTCTGAGACAGTGCTGCGACTTCCTCCATCAGTTCTTGTACCTGCAATCAGATGGTGCACTTAATCTTGCATATATTGTCGGTGGGAACAAGAGAGAAGGACTTACATCAGGTCAGCGAAAAATAATCGTTCGCATGAGGAATATTGGAGTATTCATGGCGGATTGAACCAAAGTCAGATATTGATATTTACTTGCTGAACCTGATATATTAGAGCGGAGCAGACCTGACTAAGACTCACCAGTCAGGAACCACTGAACACTAGCATCGTAACTCGTTGCTTAACCACAAGTCAAATTTCATTTCAGAAGTATTTCTCAAAGATCTTGCAGTAACAAATATATTGTCCTTCAATAACTAATACGACGGATACCATTAATGTTCTTTACATTGTTCCATATGAAATTAACCTAACCCCTTATTCATATTCTTATTCAGGAATACAAATTCGCTTGAGTTTGGAATGGTTCGATAGGACGTGCACTCGAAAGACCTCCATTCCTATTCTCTGACTGTCTTAGCTGAGATGGGCGCTGAAATCCATTGCCCATGTCTAAGGAAGGAGACCAGGAACATGCAGTGTAAGAAGTCTTTGATTTATGCTGAGTTTTATCATGGATGCTGATTAGATATTGTCGGGAAACGGAAAGAGGAGATATTTAGTAGCTCACGATTCCTACTATTAATACCTGAATACTGAGAGTATACAGTTATCCATCGACCATCGCCATTTTGTGAAAATGCGCCACTGCGTACAGCAAAAATGATCACTGTAAAGGGTGAGACATGACGAAAGGTTTTGATGAAAGGGCGAAAATCTTAGTAAAAAACTATTAATACTTTTAGCTAAACAATTTTCGCTTTCTAGTTGTCCTTGAGCAGAATAGCGACATCATCTGGAAACAAGGGCATTAAATTAACCTCTTTACATTCTATCATTCCTGGTGTCTTCTGCCTTTCTGATTCATTCGAATTCCTGCAGAGGTTAATCGCTCACATGTGATTCATGTCACGATTACCGAATCCATACTTCTTACTTTCGAGAGGGCAACAAATGACTGACCAGCCTAATGCTCTATGACGCTAATATGGATTTCTGTCTTCTCAATAGTTAACCCATTTTACTTGTGCCTTATTACAGCCCAAGCAAGAGTGACTTGCAGCTCAAATTACTCGTCCACCTTGATACCAAATAAGGGCGAGGGACATCCTTTTCCATTCATATTCTCTTTAAATGTTGGAATTCGGCTAGACGCCGCTGTTCCATGGCTTACGAAGCCAGCTCTCTCTTCCTTTTTTTCCTGGCGTGGCACCACTAATCTTAGTAGGATTGTAGCGCTTGGACCTTCATATATATGCTAGCTATTCCAGAACGAAGCACAATAGCTCCTAACCATGTACGTCATGGGTGCATACATCACAGTATTACGGACTTAATAGACCATAGAAAAACCACCAACACAAGGAGAGCACATTTTTTACTATCATCTCCACGAAGTTCATGTGGAATCTTAGCCAAATAGTTGAAGCACTCACCAGGGATGACTCACAAAGACGACTCATTCGCCATCCCTATTCTCTTATAGAAACATTGTTTATTTAAGTCCATGCCAGATGCAAGAACTCTACTCAAATATTCTATAACCCATTCTTTTACCTATAGCTTTTGGCCTTATGTCTCGATCGGATGGAGCCAATGAACATTTTCATATTCATATTCAATGTCTATTCGAATGCATCCTTGACGTCAGAAGCCATAATGAGCAAATTTAATTTCCCATTTCCAAATTTGTATTTTTCGTGAAAAGAACAAAGGAGAGTCGGATCAAGTTTTGTCCATTGAGAAGGGCACATCCTTGGATGCTAAGGAATCAGTTTTAAAAATTTCAGCATCTATATTAATCTGAATGCTAGAGAGCTAACAGACATACAAAAATTTGACGAAGTTCAATTTTCTGTGGTAGTCAATGCTTTTTTTCGCAGGTGTTAGATATCTAACCTTCGTTCGGCAAGCCTTCAGCTTACCTTGGGTCAGGCCAGGGCCAACGAAATCAATCCCACCCCGAAATGTGCTCCCCTGGACACGTGCTTTCAAACATGGAATTTTTCTGAAGCCATCGATCTAACAGCTTTCGTGTACCAAGTTTAGCTTCTTATCGTTTCTGGAACGTGTTTAGAATTGGCATCAGGCACTCACTCAGTCACTCACGATCATCTTTATGCATTACATTCGATACAGTACATACTGTGTTTTTCACTGTAAAAGGTACCACATGAAATTTACCAGGTAAATCAGAAGAAGTACGATAGGGGATCTTGTCCTTCCCTAGATTGCCCCTTTGTGTGCGAAGGCAAAAGTCAAGGGATGAGTTTGGGGGATCGTCCGCCCTAGCCCGATCTGCTTTCGTTACCTCAGAGTTGGAGGTATAGCTCACAGGAGCAATAAGAGATAACAAATGAATAGAAAAGCATAATACTTACTTGTGAAAGGTGCTCGGTTCTAAGACTCCCGAGCAGCGCATCAATCTTCTCCTCGATCTTGTCAATTTTTTCCTAGAAAAGAAACGTCTTGAATTTACCATTCCTATTTTCCTCTTTGTGTTTTGAATAATTTCATTAAATGAAATTAGCAACCCTTTACCGAAGGACCTATGCTTTTCGTGATGACTCATCCAAGAAGAACAGTCTTAGTCATGTTCCCGCTGCCAAAATTTGATCACCAGTTCGCAGCAACAGAACAGATAGAACACATGCGTCAAATAGATGCTGAGGTACAATGTGCTACATCTCCCAATATGCCAAAATTATAACAAAATATTAGTTCGCCATGTGTAAAGTAAATATATGAAAGATCATGAAAGATCAAAAAACGGGACACGTGCGAATGATGCAGAAAGTTTATATCCAAATCATAAAAATAATCCCGACGAACGGATTTGACGAAGGAAGAAATGGTTCTTCAAAGACCACATCGTCGGTAACGGTGTCAGCATCAGTTTTGCTTAGTTTCGGTCCACCAATAACTTGCATCTCCGACAAATCTTTAAAGCGAACTCACGAGCAGGCAATGTACAAAAGCCATGCGTGAATTCTGGCTCCGTAAGTTGTTTTCCGACTTGATTATAATGTCTGTCCCAGAGACTTGCTTATAGTCATACCGTAGGCAAGCTCGATAGGGATATGGCATGGACAATGATGGAACGGTATGCCGACGTCGGATGACGTGTCCAGTGAAACTCTAGGCAGCAAAAGAACATAGCCACGAAACGCATCCGTAATCACCTCAAGTTTGAAGACATTCACGTTCATAGGCGAGCGGCTGCAAAGGTCGTTCTCAATAGAAGGCTGCCTCATAAAATCGCGAAAATTGCGCGTACGTATGCATCTTCCTCCTTTGACATCGTTTTGAACTCTGACGAATACTCAAATAAGTTTGTATGTAACATTTTATCATTAAGGCCACAACTGTGCCGAAGTTTTCCTTTCTTTGCTTCAAAATGAAAAGCCTGGCAGTGCTCAACAGAGCTTTCCACACTCATAAGGTCGAGATTGTGCGAAGAGTCTGCAATGATGTTGGACTTCCCGGCCACCACTGCTAGAGTATGAAATGATGGCTCGACGCGCAAACTCGCTGGTCTCCGCGAAGCGTTAACAGATTCACTTTGCTCTGCAGTTAGAGCAGCCCTATCCAGCCAGGTCTCCTCTCGGCATTATTATTCTCACGCTGCCTTCTGGAGCCAGTTCAACCAAACTTTCCGTGGTCTTTTATTTCGTCCAGAGGAAGGTCGAGGGCTGTGTTTCAATCCAAAATGTTCTCTCCTGAGGTACTGTTGAATCATGGGATGGCATGGAGATATATTGGATTCGGTGGTACAGTGGTGGCACACCTAATCGACGGCAGGAGGCCCGGGTTCGATTCCGGGCCATCCTTTGCCTCTTTTTCGTCCTCTCATGCCATTGAACTCCCCCCTCCCGGCCATCTGCATTACAGTATCCTGGAGTAATCCCACTTTGCTCGATGACTACAGTAAGTAGTAAGAAATATTCATTTGATCAAGTTTTCATCCAAAATATGTTTCAAAATATAACATTTTACCATGAAGTTTTTTAACTCCAAAATAATTTAGAAATTATTCAAAGTGTTACAAAAAAATTAGGCTAAAAAAGGGGTGCCCGAGCGCATTTTTGGACACCCAAGAACGGTAACTCATAAGAAACCATTAGGCTAACGTTCCCCAATTTGTCATGCATGAAATATTGCAGTATTAAATTTCCCTAGGCAACGCCGCGTACTTCACCTAGTTAGTTAATAAAGAGAGCTTTGTTGTATTGGACCTTCTGAGAACTCATATGTATCTGGGCCCTTCTAACTTTCCCTTTCCACTTCTACTTGACTAACTTTAAAGTACATCATTCAAAAAGTAGAATGGCGCGAACTCCTGCCAATTTATTTGGAGCAGTATAAATATCGACATGGTATTTCTCGCAAGGGAAATCCATTACGAGTCTTCGAGTCCTACTGTTCACCCAGCATACATTCAAATGAAAGTTACTCGGCAAGCCGGTCTATATATAAGGCAGAGAACAGTATCATTTGTTTAGCGTTCGTGATTGTTGAGGCTATGATCCTAAAGACATTGGATGATAGACCTTGAAGGTCAATGAAGGTTTTCGAGCCGGCGTTGAGCGTAATCCTGAACATTTCATTGTTCAAACATTTCGTTCACATTGGGGACCGATAAGACAGCGTATTTGGTTAATAGGTATTCAACATTCTGTGTACAAATGCTGCATATCTGTGTATATTAGGTTTCGTACTAGATCTCTCTTGATAACTTCAACCTTCAATTATGGTCTCCGATTTGTTTCATTTGTTACAATTCAGTACTTTAGAATAAGATGCAGAATATGTGCCCTAATGGAAAGGTCTTAATAGAACCTCATAACACTTTTTTTAAATAATAAGAATGGCCTTTTGCTGCCTTTAAGTATGACCTGCTATAAAGAAGATCATTGAGTAACCTAAAGTGCATCTTGTAGAATTTTTAATTAATGGAGTGGTAAAAGCATAAAAAAACAAGGACTGAACCACGTACAAAACAATGAGCGAGATGGAATAGACTGCGTGGCTGCGGGAATGCACGCCTTGGAACATTGTCCTTCAATATTTCCTATGGTATGGCGCGCGTGAGCAAACGCAGCCAGTCGCTTCTCCACCTAAAGCTCAAGTATGTCATTCTTTCATTCACCACCTTAGCGTGGCCTCTGCAATTTTGCTTTAATTCATCACTTAGTGAGCTCCACCTACGCTCTTTAGAAAAAAAATCGAGTGAAATTCTAGTTCATCACCCATTTATTTCCGATGAAAGTGAATAGTGAGGAAAGTTACTTCAAAGTTTATTCTTTCCCTAAAGGAAATTAAGGGAGTGAAAATAAGCAAGAGGAGATAAAATACGGATACACGCAGTTGATTTAATTACAATTGGCAATGTGCTCGAATGGAGAGCAATGGAATGATTCCACCCTTTTCACGATCCGATCCCAATCATTCCACAGGAGAGCGTTTCGAAGAGTAAAACCGCGCGAGTTTTAATCCCACTTTTTATGGGAAAGATTCTGTTATATATATGACGTAATATATTATGGAACGAAGTGAGGTTGGGATATATAGGCTGATTCATACATCTGATTATTCGTGATACTATACTTTTCAATATTACTGACCCAGAACATAAAGCAGGATGTAACTCACAAGAAGAAGGAGCTGGTCCGCCCTCTGTATTTTAGATTTCTCCAAGCAGTCAAAAATACCCTTAAATTGGTACATCCTTTCTTCTTCGGATTTCTTCAAACTCTCAACCAAGCTCCTGAATTGGTCCATCTCTCCTCCGGATTTCTTTATACTTTCAACGGGGCTCTTGAAGTGCGGCAAACTTATTTCTCTTTCCAGTGCAAGCAGCACTTCATTGTGATATTTAGTCACATCTGCGTAAGATAACATGGGAAGCATGATGCTTGTTGTGATGTTTGCTACCAGACTTCTGTCCAACATTGCTCCATTTACCATGTCATACCCGACGCGAGGCATCCGAGTGAGACGAATGTCATACGTGTTAGAACAAAGTAATTTCAATATCTCAGGCTATCAATACTCCTGTAGAAATACTGAGTGCTTAAGTCATTTCTCCGTGACATAAATCATAGCGTCATATGATGAGTGAGAAATGAAAATCGAAGTCAAGTTTTAATGGGTTGAATCAAGTAGTTCTTGCAAAAGGTTTGTGGTGTTCGCGATCCAGTTTGGACAAAGACTCATTGCAGCAAAGTATCCGCGCAGGACTATTCTATCACGGATATCTCTTCAAGAAAATTTTGAAAGATTAAACTAATATTAAATCGAGGATCTCACCGGTGTCGACGTAGTATGCCGTTAGGTCTTCCTTGGTAGAACGGAGGAGATCCTCTGCAATTTGTCGATGACCAGTTTCGAGGAGGCTTCTGCAAATGAGAGGTAGATTTCTTCCGTCCTTCCTCCCCAGGACGTTTGCCAGATCCGAGAGTTTCCATCCTTTGTATTTGTTTCTGTTAAGAATTCTTACTTCGTCACTGTTGAGAATGGCATTGCCCATCAGCGTCTTTATGACTTCTTCTGGATTTATAATTTTGATGAAGCTGAACCATATTCTGCCAATTCTTGCCTTCAAATCTATGAAGATCAAATAATGAGATGATGTACAGAATCCTCTATTTGATGCGCATCATTTTGTACATATTTGTCACTATTTCCGGACGCCCTACATCCAACATGCGTTTTTTACTTGTGGAAAAGACAATTGTATTTATAAAAAAAATAGGATGCCAAACAGCATGTTTACGTTAATTTTACGTAAACTTAATATAATTTTTTTGTCCATTTTATATCATTTTTATGCAAACCATTGTCAAGATAATGCCAACATGTTTGCATAAATGTCACCTCTGTGATACGTAAACGGTGATATAAAATTAACGTCAATTTTACGTAAAATTGACATGCCCGTTTGCATTCCTAACAGTATTTTTACGTTGATTTTACATAAGATTTATGTTAATTTCCCTCTAGCATTCATGAGCCTTTAACGAGCCAATCAGCATCTTTGAAATAAATTGATATACTGTATCTCCCATTCCCTTCCATCCTTTAGAACTCAAGAGTGCTTGAATGAGTACACTTATCCTCATCAGCACTCAAGAGTCCCTAAACGACCTACCACTTCCTTCTCCTGTACTGGAACTTCGGGAGGAGAAGTAGATGTTCAAGGAGCTCTCTCCCATTTAGGATAGAGACGACTTAGTACTTGAAGAGCTGGGATTCTACTCTTCCCTAATTCCGTGCATTACTATAATAAAAACCTTAACTTCAGCATTTAATGATTCCCTGAGTCATATATTATGAAAAAATATATATTAATTTCATGATTTCCATATATATATTCATGGATTGCATAATAAAAAGTGAAAGGATGGTAAAAAAATCTAATATTCTATCAGGAAACCCAGTACGTAATAGTATTTGTCGGATGCAGAGAACAAGGGTTCCATCTAGTGAGGAATCTTGGTACTGCAACTGCGGGATGGTCCGCTAAAGTTTCATATGGATGGTGTGGCGTTAATTTTGCATAAACTTGATATCATGTACTTCACGTCAAATGGATTGACGCCTAGTTGATGTAAAATACACGTAGACTTTGGTGACGTAAATATAGGAACGTAAATTTTACTTAAATGTGATGCCATTTTCATGGCAATCGCAATAAATGTACATTCTTTGCAAGGAATTGATATCTTGTTTGCGTAAACATGCTGCTTGGGATTACTTGTGTGAAAGGTGTACATGAGGAATATTCCATACTTTCCGTTGCGTAAGCGCTCCATGGCCACAAAAAGCTCCCTATGATTAGCAGCAGACTTCTTAACTCCCATAGAACCATCTGTCATTGTAGGATATCCAAATGGAATTCCCTTAATCCACACCTAATGCTCATCATTATGATGACGTCCTTCAAGGCTTCCCTAATTAATCATCTTACAACTCAGGCCACTAACATTCTGTGACGCCCCATCGCTCTCACTCCCCTAAGTCCCTTTTTATGAATGTCCATCGGATCGTCTACCGTCATCCGCCTACCGATAATCGTTGTCTTGGCTGTTTTTTCGGTCTGGAGAGTGATATTTTATCATTCTCTGATTATCTCCTGTGACAACCAGCACTCACAGCGTCGTTCTCCTTGTCTATTTATACTGTCTTCTACTTTTTAAAATTTCCCGTCCCAAAAAGTAGACAAAACAAAGTTTCCACTGACGCCTCCATTTTATACAGGGTGCCTCAGTATTTACTGAACGTAGGGTGTTTCGTATCTAGGCCGCTCTGACCAAGACCTCTGTTACTTACTGTACCCAAGAAAGTGGGGTGTACAAATCTAAGCTTTTCCTGGCCATAAGCTAGGTGGTAGACTTAGATTAATTTTGGAACACAGTGTACGTGTGTCAATATTTGGAAACACTTTCTTTAAATAGTAAATGCTGCAATCTTCGAAGTCTTTCCTTCACGTCGAAGGCTATTTTGACGTTAGCCAAAAATACCCCCTATGATCTCCAGGCCTTCTGCAATTGTATCTAAAGGACTTCTTGGCTTTCTGATCGGCATAGTCATGAGCAAGGTTCTCCAAGAGAAGACTTCCTCATATGAAAAACGGACTTTTGCCATAGCAGGAAGGGTCATACATTGTCATATTTAGAAATGCCAGTCTGCCATATATGGTCCAACC